TAGCAGCAATTGGAGATACCTAGCCTGGGTCTCTGTGAGCTGTTCCAGACTGCCACTAGTGTGTGCTTGCTGCTGCACAGGGACCCACCCAGGCTGGGAGCAGCTCGGCCTCCCGGTCGCCCTCTTGTGGATGAGGCTCTCCAGTGGCCTGGCCTGTGGCCCGAAGAAGGGGTGGGGGGCTGGGTCTCTATAGAATGAAGGCCATTCCCTGCTGGGTCAGACACCTCCTCAAGACAGGAAACTCCCTTCTGTGCTAGGGGACTGACAGGAGTGGACAGAGGCAGTGCTGCCTCAGGGCTGACGGTGGTGGGCTGGAGGATTCAGGGAGGCCCAGAGCAAGGCCATAGAACAGACACCTCCCCAGCCTGCCTCCCTGCCACGTGTGCACACTCTCATTGTGTGTAGCCACACACACCTTCAGTAAAAGGTACAAACTCAGGCACAAACTCCCAGAGCAGGACAGGACTCCTCACTCACACCCTACTATCCATGCTCACACAAACATACACACACATACACCCTCACATCTTTGCATCCATGGTCACCCATACATGCTCACACTCCTACCCTTTTTCAAGAATACATGGTCATGGTACCTGTGGACACACACACTTTCACAGCATGACCTGGCCCCCTCACATTCTACTTGCACTCAAGGAACCCAGCTTCTACTTGCCACTCACACACACTGTGTGCATATGCACACAGAGGCACCTGCCCTTCACTCCTCCATACCCATCAGCCCCAGGTATCCTGGAACCAGAGCTAGGGAACCTCCATCTAAAAGTTGTTCTTAGAAGAGTTTCTGGCCTCTTGCTGCTCAGCTCAGGTATAATAACCATCCCTGTTACAGAGATGAGGAATCAGAATCTCAGCTTCTGGGATCCCCCCTGCATGTCCCAGGCTGACCCCTCACCCAGCACCATCTCCCTGACCTCCTGCAGCTCCTCAGCAAGATTCACATCTCTCAACTTCCTGGCCTGGCTTTTCGGGTCCCATTTTGCCCTCTGCCTGGAGACACCTCTCTGCCTTTCAGTTTCAGGCACTGAAGAAGGGAAAACTTTCCATGACTTGTCAGGCCCTCTCTAGGTTTCCGGGCCCACCCTTCTGCAGTGGGACCTGGGTAGGTGCTCCTGTCTGGACCAGCGGGTGCCAGAGCAGCCCCTTGGCCAGGAAGGCTGCTCTGCTAAGTCTTACTTTCTCTTCTGGTCCCTCCTCTCTCTTTGGCCAGAGACTAGTGGAAGATGGGTCCTGATTCACCAGTCTCCCCAGGCCCTGCACTCTTCCTCCTCTACCTTGATAAGCCCCTCTGGCCTTTGGGAGCCCACTCCTAGGCCCCAGCAGCACTCAGTCTATCCAGGGACAAGGGGTTGGGCCAGCTGATGGGGTCCTAAGATGAGACCTGAGAGCAGAGAATAAACCGGGAAGTTTATTGAGCCCATTGCTAAATTGCCTTTATTCTGCAAAATTGCTTTAGGGACCACTAACTAAATCACTGTTTCTTTGGTGGTGTGAAGAAAATGGGATGCATTCACCTAATGGGGATCTAATGGCCTTTTAGGCAGGGGAGGAGAAAGCTTATTAAAAATTATGATATCTGTTAAAACAGAGCCTGGGGTATCAAGGGGAAGGGAGGGCCTGGAAGCTGCCAGCTCCCCTGAGGAATTTTCCCTCCTCTACAACCTGAGAGAGTACTCCTCCATCCCTTGCCTTAACTGGATAAGGCTGATGCCAGCAGCAGCTACCCCACAGGGGGCTCACAGTCTGCTAGTCTGTGCTGAGCATTGCCTGTCTGCTAGCTCACTGTGTCTTGCCAAAACCCGGAGGGACCTGCATTGTTTTCTCATTCCACAGGTGAGAAAACTGAGGGTCCCATAGCCTGTGAACTTGAACCCAGGGAGAGGACTTAGTGACCCCCCACCCCTGGTCCTCTGGCTTTCAGCAAGCAGGTTCTCTAGGCCACAGGTGGCAGGAACAAGGGTGGGGCTGAGGAGGGGGTCCTGGGAGGGGAAAGTGGCCCTGAGCCCACTCCCCCACCAGTGGCTCACCTGCTTGGGGCTCCAGGGGACCTGGGGACAGCCTGTCCCAAGTAGGGGAGTGAAGTATGGCTCTGTACTGAGTGGCCTGAACCAGAAGCTCCTCTGGCTCTTTGCTGGTTTCTCAGGTGGGACCACTGCTTTAGCTAGTGCCTGGGAGTCCTGTGGGCCTGGGGACTGCCACCAGGCATGGCCATGTCATAGGCGGCTCTAAGGGAAGGCATATGTGTGTGGCAGGAGGAGGTCTCTGTGCTGGTGTTGCAGGCCAGGAGTGTGTCCCCTATACCTACCCTCTGCCTGGGGAACCAGCACCTGACAGGGGGGAAGGGGGAACTGGGCTTCAGGGGGCATGAGTTCAACTGTGTACCCTTGTCCAGGACAGGGTCCTCCACCCCAGGGCCCCATAAAAAAAAAAAGGCAGTGTTGGAGAAGTACTCTTTAGCAAAGTAGTGCTTCCTTTCATTCTATGGAAGTAGCTACATTTCTACTGTGGAGCTCCTTCCCCCTTCCTCTTAGAATGGGAGAGGACACTTCCTGGTGTGGGGGTCTTACTCAGGCTTCTAACCTTGGCAGCCCCTCAGCTCAGGCCTGGTCCTCTCCTCCTCCTCCTCCTCATCATTCTTTCCAGTTGTTTTCTGAGTGAATGACTTAATAGTAACAATCACAATAATAGTAATCGACCCATACCCACACTCCCAAGGGACCACCTGCTGCCTAGGGCCTTTCCCAGGGCTGAGGATGCACAGTGGGAGATAACAAAAAGGCCCTTTAACCTCAGAACTGTTACCTGCTCTGAGGGAGAGACATGGGCAATAAAGAAAGCTGTCACTTATCTCAAGTGTGTGTGTGTGTGTGAGAGAGAGAGAGAGAGAAAGAGAGAGAGACAGAGAGACAGAGACAGAGAGACAGAGACAGAGAGACAGAGAGAACTTCAGATGGAGATGAGTCAGGAGGCAGGCTAAGAAGGTAAGGGAGAGAGTGGCAGGGGCAGGTGGGCAGCCAGGCAGGGAAGTGTCTCTTCAGGCCATGGGTCCAGTGGTTTGATGACAGTGAAAGTTCATCTGTCTCCCTGCCATCTCCCTCCTACTCCTTTCTTCCCTCTAATTTGCCTTCCTTGGGTCTTCCAGGGCCTCTTCTGAGCTTAGTGGGGTAGGGGTGCTTTGGCCCCTGGAAGTCTGGAGGGTTCAGTAAGACTCAAAAAGTTCAGGCCCAGGGTGTTCCTCTGGGGTCCTAGGAAGGGCACTCCTGGGGAAGTTCAGCGGGTA